ACAGAAGAGCCAGGTAAGCCATACCCACTCCTGACCCACAGAAACTGTAAGAAAATAAATTTATGTTGTTTTAAACTGGTACATTTGTAGTAATCTGTCACATAGCAATCGATACCTCATACTACATACTATTGATAGATACTATAAAACAGCCACCAATATTTATAGCTGGGAAGTGCAGGCTGTAGTAGAAACAAGGGAGAGAACATGAAGTACACTCAAGAACAAGGGAAGCTACCTCAGACCTATGTCATCAACACACAATGGAAGAAGAAGGGATATGGTAAATTCCTTCAAAGGGACACAGTGGCTCCTGGCCTAGCAAGCAGAAAAGTGGCTTGATCAGTCATACAAGCATAACCAAAGAACAGTCAGGACCAGTGACAGTGTCTTTTCAAGCACAGTAGGAAAGACAAGGTGTCTTAATCAAAAAACCTAACTTGTCCCTGGCATTCAACAGAGTTTGGCACATAAGCACTCATCTTAATACTGACCCTATTTTGCTTAACAGATGTGAGCTCTTACCCCTAATAACTGCTGTCAAAATTCAAAATCATAATGCACCGAGTTAGCATCATGTTACCAGGAAAGAAAGAGAAACACCAAAATATTAGTTGATTTGTTTACTCTTATTAAACAAACCTTATTTAGGATGTACAACAGAACTGAGCATTTTATTTTTTATTTATTTTTTGGTGGCTGGCTGGTACAGGTAGAACTGGACATTTTAAAGAGCCCATGGTCTTCTACCGATATCACTTAAATTTTTAATCATACTCCCTTTTTAAAAATTTCACACCCAGTAAGTAACCTTCTGATTACAATGCAGCTCTGTAAGCAAAATGTCTATAAGATTAATGAGAGGGAAAAAAAAAAGAGGAAAAAGAAACACAGAGAAACAGAAATAAAGTAAAGGTGGCAAATCCAGGTGAAAGGTATATGGATATTCACTGGACCACTCTCAATTCTTTTATTACAGGTTTTAATCTTTTCAATATAAAAAACTGGGGAGACAGACATGACACAATTTTCTCAGTAGGCTAACCAAGTTTAAGATTCAGAAACGCCCTTAAAACTAATTAGAAAAGCCTGAAGAGGATACCATTTTCACTCCTGTTTTGGAAAAAGAAAAAGAAAGCAAAGTAAATATCCAAACCTACATATTATAAAGCAGTCAACACTTTACAATTATATAATATTTCCCTGCCAGAATCCAAAAAATTCTCATAAAAACATTAATTTTCTGATTCACCTTTAAACCCTTTGGTTCTATAGACAATTATCAACTCTTAAATCTTCACTGTTCTCTAAACTCTCCTTATTTAACATGTGGTCAATGGACCAAAAGCACTACATCACCTGTGACTTGTTAGAAATGCAGAATCTCTAAATCCAATCCAAATCTACAAAATCAGAATTCACACTTTAATAAAACACACAGGCAACCTGATAGCCCCAATGTTCAAAAGCACTATTGTAAACATTAACAGTACATTTACTATAAACATTATAAACCTATTCAAATCAAAAGCATCAAAGTCAGTTAAATATTAGAGAAAATATGCTGTTTGAAAACTTAACAGGTATTTTTTTCAAGAATTCAGTCTCAACCACAAAGTGATCTGTGTGTGGCAGAGGCAAGAGGGTTTCTTGGAGGCTTTAATGCTGCACAAAATTTAATCAAAATCAATACCTTTGAAAACAACAGTAAAACAAATTCTAAGAAACCTGGCTAAAACACAACATCATTTGTCATAATTAATTAAACATTATAAAAGATAAAATAAATGCTGACACAACAACTGACATAAAATTGTTACTCAATAAATTTAATCTGTTGAATAAATAAACTATTTTTCAAGAAACTTAAACAAAACTGCTTCCTCACTGAAAGCATTGCTTTTCTGCCTGCAAATTAATGCTTACCCAGTTTCATGATAAATCAATCAAAAGCCATAAGGTAGTACAATAGATGCAGGCCTACACCAATCAGTACAAGCTATCAATGAAACTCATGGAGACCACCTTTGAGGTAAGCTAGGTCCCGATAGAACCCTGAATAAAGGGAATTTTATATACAGGAAAAAATCTAGGCAATAATTTTCATCCAACACAGGCCAGGATTAGAAAGAATAAGAGCAACTGAAAGAAACACATTTGTAGCTTGAACAAACTTTAAATGTCCTTTATAATATCCTTATTTGCTATAAGATTCTTCTTTCTATCTGACTTTTCTAATAAACTTTCCTACTGGGAAGAAAATGTATGACTTACTAAGGATTCTAAAGAGCTTCTTTCTATGTGGATTACGTGGCTGATATTTACCATATTAGAAGTTAGAGCTGAGACATTTAAAAAATATGAAATTAATTTTAAAATACCAAGAATAAATCCATTATATGTTAATATAAAAATCTTATTTTCATGAAAACTATATTTTCCAGAACAACAACAACAAAATAGGAAGAAGACTGGCATTACTTTACATTTTTGTAAATATCTTTAATGTCTTAATAGAAGACAGATGGATTATCTTATTTGCTTCTACGTTCAATATTCTGCAATATATTGTTTTAGCTGAAGTATATAAAGAAAATTCAGGCTCATAAAAATATGTAGTTGTAAAAAGGAAGAGTATTTTTAACAGCCTTTTCAGATTTATGAATATTCTTCTTCAACATACCAGATTTAACAAGTACTGTCTAGTTTATTGTAGTACTAATGTGGAAGCTGAATCCACACCAATGGACATTTTATGCTCAGTTACATTAAAATCCCTTATTCTAATCTTGAATTTTGAGTGTATCTTTTACATGTGCATGATTTTGTAACATCATGCATTGATCATCTGGACACTGTTTGTTCACTTAGTTATGCAGATCTCCAAATGTTGACACATTTCATTATATAAATTTTTAAAAAATCTGATGTTAAAATGACCACCAATCTCATCAGAAAATTTTTTAATAATAAAGCTATCAAACTAACAGTGGCAGATATATGTTTTCCAAAATTCTAATTTTCACTTAGAAGTTCAAATTTATCATGGGGGTTGTTTTCCGTGCAGTGAGAGGTTCACTTCATTTCATTTTCTTTTTTTTTTTTTTTGTCTTTTTCCGTGTCCGGCAACGGATAGCAACCCTCAGTGTCGCCCCCATACCGGACCGGGACCGGCAACGGGATCGCAACCCTCGGTGTTGCTCCCGCGCCTCGCTCAGCCAGTGAGTGGGAACCGGTCTGTATGTGGGATCCGAACCCTCGGGCGGGAGCGCCGCCACGCTTCCCAAGCGGCGCACTATCCAGTGCGCCACCGGGCCGGCCCACTTCATTTCATTTTCAAGAAAATGTCTGATAAATACCCAAGTCTGAACAACCAGTTTGTCTGTCAGTCATTTCTGCAAGTAAAATAATGGTATTCCATGAAAAGAAATGGCTTGTTCAGCTGGCCAAGTAACTTCCTCAAAACAACCACTTCTGACATACAACAGGAAGTGCTTTATGTGTACTATCCATTTCATCACACAGGATATTAAAAAGACATGTATTTAAGAAACAAGATTAACAATAATTAATAATTTGTACTGTTTCATCCAGAAGAGTCTTAAGTGAACCACTGCACTATACCAATCAAAACAACCCTTAACTGTTCCTATCATTATTATAACCCATTGACTCATTCAACCAATAATTACAGAGAGTTTATTATGTAGTGCCAGCTAGGTACCATAAAGTATCTGAGTGTCTGAATGTCTTTATGTCATTCAAGCTCCTAGAACAGTGCCTGGCTGGTACACAGCAGGCTCTCAATATTTGTTGAATGAATGGATGAATGAATGAATGAATAGCTATGATATATTTTAAATTAGATTTCAAAGTCTTTTAGAGTATATTTCTTACACACACAAAAATAAACAATCTAATTATTTGAATTATTTTATCATTTTCTAACATTAACAAGAAAGACTTGTTCAGCAATATGAAACTTCTACCCTTAATATGTTTAAGTAGTTTCATCTTCACACCATTCTGAAATTAAATTGCTGTATATACAGGCAGTCCTTGCTTTTTGCATGTACTATGGTAACTGAAACTCATGCATATCAGAACCATGTGCTTAATCTGTATGGTTCCATGGTAACTTAAGATCTATAATAACATAATGACATACACTAGTGCAAATGTACAGGGAAACAAGCTCTAATGACCCACAAACTCAAATTTCAGTAAAATGTGAAGGAAATACATTGTAGAAGAATGGATGAGCAAACTTTGGGCAGTGACTCTAAATGGGTACCCCTTATAGAAAAGCAAATCAGACACCTAAATTATTTTTTCAGACTCTACATGTCTCCTTCCCACTATCCATTGCCATTTGAGAATCAGCTAGTAAACAACTAACAAAAGTGTTTCCAGTCCGTCAATGTGTTTGTGAATTGGGTGTTGGTGGATAGAACAGAATTAAGGAGGTTGGAGGGAAAGAGGGACCAGCACTTTATTATACTGTATAATTAAAAAAAATTAGGTCATACTAAATTTAGACTGGTCTTAAAAACTACAGAAATGAATATTTCTCAAAACAGAGGCAGATCAAATATTTGGACTTCTGTCTCCTAACCCTTCTCTTAATTCAATCAAAATAGACTTAAAATTACTCAACAGTATTAAGCGGTCTCCCCTCACTACTCCCATGCTCACATCTATACCCAGGATTTTTGTTCTTTCTGACTTTTAAAAATTAACATAGATGTTCAAAACTATTATAAAATTTAAACATCGTGCATTCGGCTCTAATAATGAAAGGGTGTTTATAGATTAAAAGTTTAAATGGTTCTTCCAAAGGTTAGGAAGTTACTGGAAAGTATTTTACGGACAAATACTAATGGAAGCTTAGCAACTAAAGTGTCATGAGAAAAGCAACAAATGACTTCACTTAAAAAAAAAATTCTACTCTAAGTCTATTTATTAAGTTTCACAAGTGGGAAATGCTATTTAAACTATACCTTAAAATGTACTGTGATGTTCCAAGGAAGAGCTGAACTTGATGCAAGAAGATCAAATAGCAAACCAATTGGATAATGCCTAAAAATGAAAGAGTATATTTTAAGAGAGAATAAATATGTAAAGTTATAACTACAACACTAAAATAAATTTCCAGCACACGTTTTAATGCCAAATTTCACAAATCACAGGCAGGTAACACTTTATACAGTTACATGCCTTGGCTAATATGATTTACTTTCCAGGTATGAAGTGGTTTTCTTCTAATCATTTCATCCCTCATAGAGGCCTTATTACACGCAGTGGGATTGTGCTAAAGCATTCTTCATCAGCCATGTGCACTGTTATGTCACAGTACTGCAGTATTTATCATCCCAGTACTCATAATAGGCAACTGATTTTTTAAACTTTATTTAAATGTATTTTTGATTTTTAAAAACAACTTTAAATTTTAGAAAATTGTAAGAACCAAGACAAGCACCTAAAAAGCATACAAATCACCTATTCTGTAGTTCTTACTAATAACATTATTATAGCATATAAATTTCTAGTCTTTTACTTATGCACATATATCTAAATATAGATTAAGAATATCCTTTACTAACTTCACTATAACCTGCTTTTTTCACATAATAATATAACGTCAAAGTTTTCCCATGGAATTGAATATTCTTCTGAAACCTAATTCTAAAGTTTTTTTAAAGAATAACTTTTGGAGTTTCTAAATAAGAGAACATGTCCTAATACAGTCATTACTCACCATGAAGCAAATTACTTAGCATGAACAAACATAAATAATACAAACCTTGCAGATTTCAATGAATAAACCTTATTTTTTTGAAGTCATTCTTTTAAAGAATCTAAAGTAGGGTAGCTTAATTAGTGAATCAGAATTAAATAATATTCCCAACAAAGACAAAAAGAAAAAAAGGACTATTCATTGTTACATACAGTCCTGTTTTTACCTGTATAGTCTCTTAGTTAGTACTAGATTTAAGAGCTGCAAAATTTCAAAATTTATCTAATTTCCCTTAAAATGAGTAAACCCGACCAAGATTTAAATAGCTAACATTATTTGTTTGCTTACTTCTACACAATACAATTGGGAGAAAAGTCATCAGTCAACTAGAGATTGTGTATTTATTTAGAATGAATTTAGGATAAATACACTGTTAGTAAAAATAAAACAGCAGGGTAGTATTAGTCATATATGTGTTATATCTCTTAATAATAAAATGTAAATTTCTCAATAGTCAGCATCTAACATTAATCCTCATAACTAGAAAAGAATACTAAAGGAAAATTTGGAACCAGGAAAAGAACTGGCCTCAGCTAAAGACTAAAATTAAAATTAAAAAAACAAAAACATTGCATTAAAGTCATAGATTTTATCCAATTCTGATCCTTCTCTCTGAACAATTAAAACCATACAACCTAAATAATGCCTTGTATTTTTACAAAACAGACCTTTATAAATCTTCAATCTACTTTTTAGAATGTCTCTCCAGGGTATCTGCACTAGATTAAAAATGAATGTGAGTACTAATAAGGTTTGATTTACTTGGCATTCATAATAAAGATTTAAAATTTCAAAAGTGACAGAGCATATTGCTTTCCAAATTCTAAATAGCACTACAAATATAATTGTAGAGAATCTCTTTAGGCAAATCGAGTGGGTAATGTATTAGATAAGATTTACCTGAGATCACCTAAAAAGACTAGCAAACCAATGTTTCACATATTCTCTGTCACTCACAAATGAAACTGTAAGCAAATTCTAAAATTAAATCAAATGTATCTTAACGCAACCTATAGTGTCATTAAAATCAAATAATTTTTTAAGTAAATAAATATTTAGACCAGAATACTAGTTAAACATAAGACTCAAAATCATCAATTATTTTTCATTCTGGATATTAAAAAAACTGTATTGGCACAGAATGTCAAAGTAGGTAATAAATAGCTGTTGAATGAATAAATCAATAAAGATCCACAGAATACTTAACTCTCAGTACAACATAAAGATCCAATAGACCCAATCATAGGTTGAGTTTCTTTTTTGAGCAATTCTATCTTAATGATTAATTCTTCATGACTTTTATTCTTTCTTAAAAGTCTTCCAAAAAACAGAGAGAACGCACTTAAAAAAAAAATTAGAAAACTTATTCTATCTAGTAATTGCTATATGAATCCACTGGATGCTTTTATAAACCTAACATATATTACAGGATCTTAGTGATCTTACTTTTTCCTATATCTTGAAACACTTTGCTATTTCTCCATCCTAGGGATTATTTCATCATTACTCACTAATTGTTCCCAACTATACTAAAAAAGACTAAAATAAGAATTTGAGAGAATAATGGGATGCCTAGAAGGATGATACAATAATGCACCCTTCTTCTATTTTCCTACTATGTTGCCTAAAGCATATTGCATCATCTTTCAAGAAAGTGTAAAATAAGAATGTAGACCCCATCTTTGGAGTCTGTTTTTAGCTATCATTAACACAACTGAAAATTCAAAATTACTTATTGTCCACCCATATGGCAAAGAGAAGAAAATTGACAGGGGAAGATGTCTCACAATTATTAGACAAATCTGAAGATGAATGCCAAGAGAGGGGGCAGTAGTCTAAGATTTAATGATAGGGGTGAAATTGATCACTGAAGTGAAATCTCAGAAATTAGCCTTTAGAGGATGATATTCTAGATAAATTTCACAGAACTGAAGAACTAATAGATGAACAGCATATTTCTAAAGACAAAGGAATATATGGCATTATCAACTTATTCAACAGATATGACTTCATAACACAATATTTTATGACCAGAATCTGGACCCTTCCATTTTATTAAAAAGATGTGTGACAACATTCTTTCATCTTTTATATCATTTGCATACCACAATTTACTTGATAGTAGGCAACTATCAAAGGCAGATTTGTACACTGGAAAGAATCAGATGATACAGAAATGAAAAAAAAAGTACTGAATTTATCATTCTAATTGGTGTTTACCAATGTAAAAAATAAAATACTTTACAACAAAATCATGAGCTCTTGAAGTTTTACAATTTTCAAGTATTGGGCCGGCCCAGTGGTGCACTCGGTAGAGTGCGGCGCTTGGGAGTGCGGCGGCACTCCCGCCGAGGGTTCGGATCCCATATAGAGACCGGTCCGCTCGCTGGTTGAGCGCGGTGCCGGCGCGACACCGAGGGTTGTGATCCCGTTACCGGTCAAGAAAAAAGACAAAAAGGAAAAAAAAAAATACAATTTTCAAGTATTGCTGTTAAGTGCTAGAAGAGCCAGAAGTAACAATAAGCTAGAGTCTCTTAAAGGTCTATTTGAATGTGTGACAACTGACAAGTACATGCATTCAGAGGATACTGCCCATTTTGGGTACCTTTAAAACCAGGAAAATATGAAATGAAAATTTGAATTTGCTGTATTTAAGTGCTTATTAAAATAGTGTATAAAGTTGTTATACACTATTCCTTTATTCTAGCTTTTCTAAATTATTTACAAAGTAACTTAAAAATACAATTTTTTTTACTGGTTGTGAATATTCACGAGATACAAAGCTGATTGTCACCCCTCGTGCCCATGATATGAAGGCCAGATTCATACTGGCACCATACCCATTACCACAAATTGCATTTGTGCCCTGTGTCTCCCACCCAATTATCCCCAGCCTTCCTGCCCCTCCCCCTTTTCCCCTTACTCCACTTTGTAGCCCAAAGGAATGTTCTCTCCCTCTGCAAGTCCAAAGCACTACTGTGGTCTTTCCTTCCTTCTTTCTCTCTTAGCTCCCACTTATGAGTGAGCGCATGCAGTATTTATCCCTCTGTGCTTTGCTTATTTCACTCAACGTTAAGTTTCTCCGGGCTCATCCATGTTGTTGCAAATGGGAGTATTTCATTCTTTTTTATGGCAGAGTAGTATTCCATGGTGTATATATACCACGGTTTCCTTATCCAATCATTCATCCATGGACATTTAGGTTGGTTCTATGCCTTGGCTATTGTAAACAGCTGCGATGAACATGGGAGTGCAGGTATCCCTTCGACATGATGATTTCCATTCTTCTGGGTATACACCCAGAAGTGGGATTGCTGGATCTTAAAAATACATGTTTTTTAAAAAGTTCATTCATCCTTTATCATCAGATGATAAATGATGATTCTCTTTCCCAGTATAGTAAGTATTAGGATAGATATTTAAATATTACGGTTCCTAAAAGTAATATTTCAATTTAAACACATGTAAGTATTAACATAAAAACATTCTAAATAATATAATGGTTAATAATTATCCTGTAATAACCTTTAAAAATAAAATTGAACTAGAAAAGCCATTTACTGATTTCTATCGTCAGATTCTACACTTCACATGTGGTTCAATGCAGATGTTTATGTTAGAATGATTTTGATGCAAAGATATTAACTCCAAACAAATATACTATCTGAATTAATTGGTTCCCAGATTGCTTATTTCTGATAAATCTATCAATATTCAAGAAAATCTATAAAAAGAAACAAAACTGGCAAAAATTAAAGATACTGAATTTATCCTAAACTACAATCTGATTTACATCAGGATTTCAAAAGTATTAATTTGCACAGCTCCTCTAAACAGATATTCTATATACTTTTGTCAGGAGGCTCCTGACCCACAACACAGAAACCACATATGCTGTAATTATACGTAAATCATAATATAGCCATAGTCATTCGGTTATATTGCTACTCCTGCCATCTAACCTAAACAGAAAGGAAGTGGTGAGGATTTCAACCTGGAATATATCCCAGAAAAGGCCCCAACTAATTAAAGGCTCAATCTATTACCCTATGAAAAAATGACTACACCAGGTCTCTTTTCACATTTTATTCTTTTTCATTCTCTTCTTTTCATTGCTCTTGTCTTTTCCAGATTCAATTCTCAAAATGAATATACTTTAATGTTTCCTTGCTTAAGTTCTTCTTTATCCTTTCATTAATGCTAATATATATATACACATATTGGCACACGGTGTAGCAATAATGGATGTGCTCGGAAGGGAGCTCATTCTAGTCTGTAACAT